GGTACACGAGTTATTCCCACCACCCCCCTTATTTTGCTGCAGCCGGACTGTGGCACCTGCACATCTGCCCCACCTCTGCCCACTGCCCCCACCTGGTGACAGCTACATTGGCCTCCTGCTTGGCCCCCAAGACAGTGAGTCCATTCCCAACTCCACCCAGAGCTCTCCCAGCAGGCACTTGCAAAGCTGGCAGCTCCCCTGGGCTCAGCCTGGAGTTCATGGAAGGCCTCAGACACAACACCCAGCCCTTCTGTGCAGAAGATGATTCCATTCCTAAGGTCAATCTTGGGGGACAGGAGGTCCCACCTTTTCCTGTCCAAGAAGGTCCAGGGCCATGGGGCACATGATACAGCAGGACACACACACACACACACACACACACACACACACACACACACACACACACACGCAAAAGTGGAATCAGAAACTGAGGTAGAAGCAACCATCATGGCTAACTCTGCCCCAAGGCAGCCCGCAAACAGAACCCGACTCCAGCGAACCAGCCCGAGACCTGCGCAGGCGCAGACTTGCAGGAGATGCCACCCCACAGGCTGCCCCCAGCTCCCTCAGCAACCGGAACTGCCCAGCAGGCGTCCCAGAACAGGGTTGCCACAGAAGTCAGACCCCAGCAGTCAAGATGCACCCCTGAGCCCTAGCAGCCCAGCCCAGGGACCACCCATAGCAACAGCCCCCGGGGGCCACCCCGCACAGGTCACAGCCAGAGCTTGGCTTCCACTGAGCCTCCAGAACCTCCACCTGGAGCTCTAGGGGGCCTGGTCCTGCACAGGCCACCACCCCGACACAGCTGGCTCCCTGGTGGCCAGCCCCAGCCCTGGTCTCTGAGGCCGCACCACACACTCCTGTGTCCCCTCAAATGGTTGCATCACCCACAGTGACAGGGCCACTGGGGAGTAGCATGGGCCTGGGCCTTCTCCTCCAAGGGCTGAGAAGGCCGGAGCTGGGGACAGCAGGCAGCAGCAGCAGCACTGCATGGGGGCGGGGTGACACCCAGAGAAGCCGCCTGAGGCGGGAGCAGCTCAGAGCCCAGGATGGGAAAGGGAACAGGGAAGAAGTGGGCCCTGGGAGCCGGTGGCGACAGGGAGGGTCCTCCCAGAGCAGCCCTAGCCTCCGGGAATTGTGCGGAGGTAGCGGCAAAGGTGAGGGCAACGCGCAAGCAGCTGTGGAATAGTGCCGCCCGGTGGCGCTCTCGTGGAACTGCGCCTCTCTCATCGGTTATTCACCATTGAACCAATTAGCGTTCCCTGGGTATTTCACACCAAGTGGATTATTCTATAACACCTCCTTCCTATTAAATTTTTTTTGTTTTCAGCAATAATCACGAAATAAAACAAATAATAATGATAACCATAAAATAAAATCAAAATGTGTTTACTGTCTGTAATATTTTATGTAACAACATCATTGTTCAGTAACAAGTAAATTTTAATAAAAATAATGAAAATAATGAAATTTTAATGAAAATAATCTGCAAATTGCAAAATTTACGAAGCCACTAAGTTACACCACGGATGTAAGTTTTCTCGATTTATTCATCAGTTTTTAAACCATTTAAAAACAATGTTTGCACTTTAGAATTCAAATTCAGTGATATAGTTCATTATAAATATGTATTTATAAAAAAAAATTGTCATTAGTTTCAAGACACCGCTGTTTTAAATTGTAAAGAAAATTTTAAACACAAAACTTTAAACAAAAAATTCAAGTTCCGTGTCTTTATAATTACTGCGCTCTCACCTGTTTTGAATCTAATCTATCAACAGTCTGGTGGGAGCTAGAGACCCCCAAACAATCCCCAACGATACAAATCTACTCTTAAAACCAAAGTACAGAGCCGAACCAGCAGGATCTGACTGGTGATGTTATTGGGGTTGTCTAAATTAACTGTCATGACAAAGTTCATTAAAGGATAGGTAATAAAATGTGCTCATTAAAGTTTACATTTAAAATATTAAAACTCAACAGTAAATGGTGAGATCAGAACAAGGTCTGCTCAGAGTTCACAGCACTGTCCCAGAGCCAGTGTCCTGGTTCGACCATGTACTCCTATGTCAGCCCACCACCTGGGCTCGGGCTCCAAACAACAACTAGGGCGCGAGCCTGTGGCCCCTCAAAATGGCCACAGGCCGTCCAGATGGCCTGGCTCTAGGCCATGAGTAAAAAGAAGTTTGCCCCCCCAGAATCCCCAGCAAATCTCCTGGCCTCTCATTGGCTCTGAGCGGGCACCTACCCTCCCCTGAACCGAGCAGCCAGGCAGAGGAAATGAGGCCCTGGCTGGGAGCTGTGGGGGGAGCCCATAGCAGCTGGGGGCACATCCAGAAGAGAAATGCAAAGGGGGCAGGGCTGAGCTGGCATAAGGGCACCAGGTGGCAAGACCCCAGCTGTGGCTGCCTGGGTCCAGGGAGGGAGGTGGGAGCCAGGGCACAGGGCTGGTGTCAGAACCGCCCAAGGAGACAGGAGACACACCCTGTCTGCAGTGGTTGAGTCGAGGTGGTATTTGTTAAAATCCCTCCAGGCGATGGGTTGTCCACGGCCAGGGAGCCTGCCCACCGCCTGCTGCCGGTCCACGGAGGGCCCCACACCACCTGGCTCTGCCTGTCCACTCTGCCCCAGCCCATCCCCCAGTGAGGATGCTCTAAGGCAGAAGTGGGAAACCAGCCCCGTCTTCCTTGGGTCCCTCCCAGGCCTGGCTTTGGGACACTTCCTAACTCCCTCCAGTGACCCACAACCTCTCCCGTCTCCTGGCCTCCCCCAGGAAAGATGCAGGTACTGCAGCAAAAGGGCAAAGGAGTTTATTCCAGTCGTTACAGTCCAGCCACCAAAGGCCTCTAGCCTTCCCACTTCAGGGTCCCGAGGATGGCCCCCCAGTGAGGTGGCTCCTCAGCCCAGGACCAGTCTGCACACCCCACTCCCAGGCTCCCCTCCTCCCCTGGCCCAACAGGACAGGGACCGGGTGGGGAATTTGAGGGGCGCTGGTCGGGGGAGAGGACCTGAGCCTCCCTCCGCACTCTGCAGCTCCTAGGACGGCTGAGGGCAGAGGCCGGCAGCTGGGGAGGGGTCCACGGGCTGGGCTGGGCTGGCTCAGGCGCACGGAGCCTCTACCCCTTGTCCATTCTGCCCAGGCTCCTCGGCCTTGCTGGCCAAGCTATAGTAGTAGGTTCGCATGCGTTGCTCCACCATCTGGAAGTTGGGACGGTCCTCCCACCTGCGGGCCATGGGGGAGATCCAGGCCACACTCAGCCCCACTCCAGGCGGACCGTGGTCATGCCTGGGGCTGGCTGTGGCGGGCCTCAGGGCTCCAAAAATGAGTGGGGCTATTGGAAGTGGGTCTCAGGGGCCAGAGGACTGGAACTTATGTGTCACCCAAATGTCTCCTGGAAGGAGAGCTGCAGAGCCAGGCCATGGGGCACCACTTGCTGAGCTGGCCAGGAACTGGGCTGAGGGATGTCGCAGCACCAAGGGGAGCAGTTGCACTAGATGCAGAAGTGCAGGGCTGCCGAGGGCCGGGCCACTGGTGAGCTAGGTCGGGTGTCTGTGGTGAGTCCGCAGGGCCGGCCTCCCCGGCTGTCCATGCACCGGGCATGGGGGCCTATGAGCTTCCTGATGGAGACCGAGTTAATGCACGAGGGGGCAGGGGTGGACCAAGCCTCTCGGGTCTGTGGGACACCGTGAGTATGCCAGAGTGAATGTCATAAGTGTGGACAGCGGGGTATCAAATGTCCCATCGTCCCCCTGTCGCAAGACCAGCGCAGGGCGTCAGCTAGTTTGGGTGTTAGCTGTTGTCTGATGGGGAGCTGGAATGTTCCGAATGGGGAGGTGACAATGCTGAGTGTTTGGGTCCCTGGGTGTGGCCTAGGTGGTAGGTGGTGGCTGGTGGGGTGGAGGGACTAGATCCTGGAGAATCTCTCCGCGCCCCGAGTATTGGCGTGTATGGGGTGACTATGGGGTCGCCGGAGCAGTGCAGATGGGTGGTGTGGTGGCTGGTGGGAGACCAGTCCACTGCGCAGGGGTTGGGTGTGGCCCCCTGCCACCTGGTAGGGCCAGCGCTATGGAGAGCAGTGCGTAGGCGCAGGGGACCCAAGGCACTGAGTGTGGGAAAGGCTGTCGCCGGGGAAGGGTCTTTGGGTGGAGTTGTGGTGACACTAACTGATTGGCCCAGGACCTCCCGCCCAGGCCCAGGGAGTGGTCCAGCCAGTTCCCCGTCCGCAGGTGCCCCCCTAGCCCCCGGCACTCACTTGTAGATCCAGCAGTCGCTCATGAGTGCGTACATTTCGGGCGGACACTCAGGGGGACACTCCATCCGCTTGCCCTGTTTGATGAAGTCCAGGACCTCGGGGCCCTTCATCTTCTGCACCAGCCAGGGCGGAGGACACGGTAAGTGACCAGGGTCTCTTCGTCCCGACCCTCCCCGCCCGCCACCCCTCCGCCCCTGCCCAGCCTGCCTTGTAGGGCTTCTGGCCGTAGGAGAAGGCCTCCCACATGGTGACCCCATAGCTCCAGACGTCGCTGCGGCTGGAGAACTTGCGGAAGTTGATGCACTCGGGCGCGTACCACTTGAGCGGCCACTTCCCCGCTGAGCGCGCCTGGCAAGGGGGAGACTGCGCTAGGACAGGGCGCGGGGACCCTCCGCCAGCCCACCCACCTGGGATCATGGGGCAGGGGCTCACGGTGTAGTAGCTGTCATCCGCCCCCAGGGCCTTGGAGAGGCCGAAGTCGCTGATCTTGGCATAGTGCCGGTTGACCAGCAGGACGTTGCGGGCCGCCAGGTCGCGGTGCACGAAGTTCTTCTCTTCCAGATACTTCATCCCCATGGACACCTGGTGCAGCAGCTCCGCCACGTTGCTGACGGGGACCTCCTCCCTGGGGTGTAGGGCAAAGCAAGTCAGCTGGGAGGGGACAGACCAGGTTCCCAGGAGGCAGAGCCCACCTCTGACCCAGCTGAGTGGGGGCTGGAGTACCCTGTGTTCAACAGGCACTTATTAAGCACCTGCTGTGTGCCAGGCATGGGCTGGGGACATAGCTGGCCAGAAAACAGACAAAACCCTCTGCCATTCTGGAAGCTATAAGTATCACCCATATGTGACAACCCTCCAGCCTAGGCCATGTGCCCATGGGGGCATCTCATGGGCATCTCAAAGATAATACAGCCAAAGCCGAGCTCCTGGTGTTTGGGCGCACACAGGCAGGGCCTCCCCACCCATCTTCCCTGCACCTCTGTCCTGTTTCTGCCCCCAGCTCCTCCTCCTCCACATCCACCTGTCTTCAGAGTCTCTCCAGAATCTCCCATTTCTCTCTGCCTCTGCCCCCTGACCTAGGCCCCAGCATCACTCACCTGGGGAAACAGCCAGGCCTCAGGGCTTCCTCCTTGCTGTCTCCCAAGGCTTGACCTCCCTGCATCTCAGGCCCCAGTGTCCCTCAGCTCACAGCCTCCCAGGGCTCCCACCAGGTCCAAGAACTCCTCACAGCCCACATGGTTCTAGCCACCACTGCTGAGTCCACCTCAGCTTCCTCCTGACTGATCCTCCACCGTACCAGGCTCAGCTCACCTCAGGTCCTTTGCACAGGTTGTGCTTTCTGTCTGGAATGCTCTTCTGCAGATCTGTGCTTGGCCACCACCCTCAGTTTACTCAAAACTCATATTCCACCCAGACATCCAACCCTCTTGACCTGCTCAACTCCTTGCTCTTGCAGAATCAATCTTCTAACATGCTCAGTATTTTCTCCTGATTATTATTCATTGCTCTCTTCTCCAACCAGAGGATTGAACTCAGGGCTTGCACATGCTAAGTGAGCGCTCTACTACTGAGCCCCAGCCAGCCCCAGCCCTGTTTTTTATATTCTTTAAACATATAAAACTGCTGGGCACGGTGGTCCACGCCTATAATCCCAGCAGCTTGGGAGGATGAGGCAAGAGGACTGCAAGTTTGAGGCCAGCCTCAGCAACTTAGTGAGGCCCTAAGCAACTTAGCAAGAATCTGTCTCAAAATAAAGGGGGGAGGAGGCTGAAGTGGTAGTTCAGAGGTAGAGCGCTTGCCTAGCATGTGTGAGCCACTGGGTTTGATTCTCAGCACCCCATATAAATAAATAAAAGGTTCATTGACCACTAAAGTAATATTTTTAAAAAATCAAGAATTTAAAAAGGGGAGCTGGGGATGTGGCTCCGTGGTTAAGCATCCCCAGGTTCAAACCCCAGTACCCAAAACCAAAATAAAAATGTAAAACCACACCGTACAAAAAGCTGCGGCTGCCGTTTGCTGCTTTCAATTATAGATAATCGACGATCGGCAGTTCCACAGCCATGAATCTGACCCAGAGAACCTGGGCAGCTGGATGGGCTGGTGTTTACACAGCTTCTGTGCCGATGCCATCTGGTCACTCTGAAAGTACTGACCCGGTTAATCCTGGAAGAACCCTGTGGGCCGGCCCTGATGCCACCGAGGTGCACCTGGAGGCGCTGAGGACTCGCAGCTGGGCTGGCGGCGTGAGTGTGGGTGTCAGGGTGGGCGTGCATGACCAGGCTGGTGTGCGCTGGCCTGCCCACGCTCCCCCGGGTCAGTGTGGTGACCCTCTCCCGGGTGGCCCTGGGAGGGTGGACAGGATGGGGCCCCAGCCTGGGTGGCCCGCGGGTGCTGGGACCAACTCACTTCTTCCCCACGAGGAACTTGTGCAGGGGCCCGCCGCCGGCCATCTCCATGACCAGCATGAGCGCCTCTGCCTGGCACACGCCGATGAGCCGCACGATGTAGGGGTTGTCCAGCTGGTGCATGATCTGCGCCTCCCGCATCATCTCGTCCTTGTCCGCCTTCTCCGTGCTCTGCTTCAGCACCTTGATGGCCACGTCGATCTGCTTCCTGCCCGGGGCACGGGCGATGGGGGGGTGCATGCCTGGCTCAGCCACGTCCTGCCCTCCTGTCCCTCTCCCACGCCCCCACCCTCCCTTGCCCATGCCCGTGACCTTGGTTGCCTGTCAGGATCCTGAGCTTTCCAGGGACTCCTCCAGCAAGCAGCACCCCCCGTCCCCGAGTCTGCTCCCGCTGCCCCCAGCACAGGGATGTCCCTGAGGGGACATCAAGCATGGCCATACTTGCGCATGCGGTAGACGCCTTGGCGCACTGAGCCAAAGTTGCCACAGCCAAGTTCAATGTCGGCCACGAGGAGGTTCTCGCGCTTCAGGAAGAGCTTCTTGTCCTTGAGCTCCTCGGGGTCGCTGTAGGGGCTCTCGTACACACTTGTGTCCATGGGCATCGGCCGCTGCTTGTCTGAGGACGCCAGGCGTGCTGGGCACACACACAGGGTGCTCCCGGGTCAGAGGCAGAGAGGGGGCAGGGTGGGGAGGGTGGGGCAGCCTCAGCCCCACGAGGCAGGTGCCCTGGACACACACGGCCCGGCGCGTGCAGGATGCAGATGCACGTGAGGAGGTGTATGCTTGTGAGTGTCACTTGCACACACGCTCCTGTCACACCTGAGGGTGCCCCGTGAAGCCATGTGGAAGAGACTCAGGAGGCACGTGCAGGGGTAGCCACACATCCCCAGGGGGTGCCAGCTGGAGTGTGCACGTGTGTGTGTTCATGTGTGCACACCTGTGCTGGGCCTGCCTGTGTCCAGGTATGTACCTCCCAACTGAGTCCTCTGGAGGAGAGTGCCCGTGTGCACACCCACGGAGCACAGACCCACACGCACCCATGTGCACTGGTGTGTACTCACACGTGGAACTCGGGAGCACCTGAGACAGCACCCAGGAGCTGGCTCTGCCCGGTTTCAAGCCCTGGCCGCCTGTCTGCCCCTTCCCCTCTGCCAATCACCAGGACCACTTCCCACGGCCTTCGGGGGATTCAAGGAACTCTCACACAGCAACCAGGGAATGAGACAGGCACCTGGCGCATGGTCAGCACTCCAAAAATGTGGGTCTGTCCACAGGGAGTCCCCAGGTGGCCAGGGTTTGTCCCCTGGGTTGGCACGCATTGGGACACACAGGTGCATGGGCAGGTGTGGTGGGCATGGGCCAGGGCCACAGGCTGGCCTCGTCCTCCCCTGCTGAGGCCACAGCCCAGCCCTGGACCCTGCTCAGCTGGGCAGGAGGACACGGCCCACACCTCCACCTCTGCCAGCTCACCTGGCTCAGGGGTGTATCCATCGGAGTTGAGGGTGTCCACCCGTCTCTGAGCCTAGAGATCACAGCGTGGGCAGCAGTCAGTGGGGCCCAAGCCGGGGTGCCCAGCCCCTCTCCTGAGGCCAGGACCTGCTGAGGACTCCCCAGGAATGGTGCTGCGGAGACCCCTGTGTGGCAACCCCTCTCCACGCCCGCTGGCCCCAGAGCCCGCCCGCCCGGCGCTGAGTCCCCAGCCCCAGGACTCGGCAGACTCACCTGCGTGAAGGTGGACGGGTGGGCTGGGAGAGTGGGTGCAGCGGCCCCTGAAGGAGCAGAAGGGACAGTGAGGGAGGGATGGGGCCTCGTGTCCCCCCAGCCCCGGGTGCCACTCACCTGCCGCTGCGCTGGCGCTGGTGTTGGGACAGGCCTCCTTCAGGCAGTAGATGAGGCCGTCGGCCTTCAGCTTCAGGTACTCTACCAACTGCAGGAGCAGGCGTCAGGCAGGGCCCTCCCGCCCGGGAGCCGAGAGCCATGGCGTCCCCCCGGAACAGGGTCCTACCTGCCACAGCGTGTCGAACTTGGTGCCCTCGGGGATGCAGTACTTGCCGGCCTTGTCCTGGCTGATCAGGTAGTGGTACACCGTCTTCCCGTAGATGAGGGACAGCGCATATGTGCCCTGCTCCTTCCGGGGCCTCAGCCTGGAGGGGTGGCGGGGCGGGACGTCACCGCACCGTCTCCTGGGAGACCCCCACTGTGCCTCTGGTCCCCACACACCACCCCACGGGCTCCATCCCTGGAGCCACTGGGAGAAGTGGCAGAGGCTGGGGAAGACAGGCCAGCCTCGCTCGGCCTCTGTGCCTTCTGGGGACTGACCGGCTGTCGGGAGAGGCAGTCGGGAGGACAGCGGCTGGGTCTGCAGGGCAACGCACGGCTGTCCAGGGGCAGACGTGTGGCCATTCATGGGGGTTACTGACCACCTTCGGTGGACACTCGGCCACCCATGACTGGATGCTCAGCCGCGGGGTGGGCATCTGGGGGACCACCTGGTCCTCTGCCACCCGCACCCAGCCATCGGGGAGGTTCACTGAGACTCGTACCAACCGACAGTTGGCCATCTATGGCAGACGCAAAGCCACCTCCCAGGGGACACTCAGCCTGCAGCAGGCAGACTTAAAACCAGTCTCTTGGGGAGATGTGGAAGTCATTTCTACCCAGACCACACAGGGAGGGCCATTGTGACAAGCTCATGGTGGCCCGGTCATCGTTCTAGGCCCGAGGGGCAGGTATCTTTTACCACACCCTGAATCCCTGTCCCAGAACCGGCCAGCTGCAGGCTTGACCCCCACCCGCCCTGGGATTGCTGGGGATGTCCCTCTTGCCCTGCCTCCCATGGGGCTCTGGCGCAGCCACCTTGACCTCCAGCCCCCACTCTCTACAGGCTGCCCACGCAGTTCTCAGCCTCGGGGACTGGTTTCTGTCCAAAGCCTGCCTCGGCCAGCTCTCCAGGAGCCTGGCTCTCCGTCGCCTTCCCTGCTCTCTGGACAGTCCCTAGAATGAGGCACCGTCACTCACACCAACACTTTTCCAGCGGTTTCCCATGCCACTGGCCCTGCCCAGATCCAGGCTCCCCCCAACTGCCACTCCCCCGGCCAACGCTGGTCCTATGTGCCTCCTGACAGTGCCGACAGCTGCCCGGAGCCACTGGCCCTGGGTTTCCTAAGGTCCTCGCCTCCCCATTGGCTGGCCAACTCCAAGCCAGCCAGGGCTGCTGTGGGCCCGCGTGTCCTGGGGCAGTAGAATCCTTGGTCAAAGAGGCTGGAATGTGGAAGCTGAAGCCACAAACAGGTCAAAGCCACGTCACGGCTGACGCTGAAGCCAGCCTGGGGACTCGGGGTCCCTCCTGCTCCTCCTGCCCCGGGAACGTGGGGACGCTTAAACCACGGGAGGGGCGGATCCTTCTGTGGATGGGGGTGAGTGCGAGATGGCAAGGCTCAGAGGACAGGAGGTGGGAGGAGAAGGGAAGAGCAAGGCAGAGATCTGCAGATGAAAAGCCGCACTGGGGACTTGAAGCCAGAGGAAGGCACCCAAGCCACAAGCCACGAGAGCAAGGGAAAGAGGAATTCATATTTGATGAAGGAGAAGCAGAGGAGGAGGAAAGAAAGTGCTGCAGTAACAGAGAGAGCGGAGGGACCCCCAGCAGGTGCCGTGCTGGTGAGCAGGCGGGGCAGGGCTGTGCGCATTGCCAGCCAGTGTCAGTGACATCTGAGCATCACAGCTGCGGTCGGGGGTGCAGCATCTGGTCAAGGAGATGCGACACGTGGCCCAGCATCCCCATGCATAGGGAGGTGGAGTGCTCCAGACACCCCAGGTGGAGGTCCTGCTGTCCACCGTCCAAACAGAAAGAAAGCTGGCCCCAGTGCTGGCCCGTGCTCAAGATGCCCACGCCTGCATCCTGACCCCCTTGCTCCAATCTTCTGATTGATAGGCTACAAAACTCACCATCCTCACCCCTCTCCCTTGAGTAGTCCCTCCTCCACGGTGACTTTGGTTTTGGACATGTGACCTGCTTCAGTCAAGAGGACATCGGTAGCAGAGGTCTGAAAAGCACTGCGTCTTGGAACTTGCCCATCTAGCTATTCTTGAGAAATCCACAACCTGCACCATGTGAGTGAGCCCAGGCTAGCCCCGTGGACAACGAGGCTCCACAGCCAGCTCGTCCCTCATCCCCATCACTGAGCATGGCCATCCCAACGTATTTGGTCCCAACTCAAATGAGAACTGCTCAGCTTGCTCACAGGATTGTGAGAAGTAATAAACTGCGTGTTGCTCTGAGCCAATAAGTCGTGGGCAAGTTTGTGAAGCAGCAAAAGCTAACTGATACAAATGCAAAGGTTTTCCCTTGGAGAAAATAGCTCTGACTCAAAAGTTATTGAAAAGCTGTCTTGCAGCAGCTTTTAAACAGCAATCAATCAAGGGGTCCCTCAAAATCCTTGGAAATGTCACTCCACTGTGCAGCCCAAATCTATGAGTTAGGGTAAAAAAAAAAAAAGTATTATTTCATCAGCGGAATCTTGGGAGGGGACTTATCTTTTGGGAGATGTGCTGACAATCTGCATAGGCCTCACATGGGTGGGAAAAATCGAGGAAGGAGGTCAGTTCCTCCAAGAGGACAGGCCCCAGAAGAGGGACCAGCCCTAGGGAAAGCGGGTGATAGCAGGAATCCCTCTGGGTAGGTACTCAAATCAAGAAGTACCAGAAGGGAAGCCCTGGGAATGACCCCATGGATTTGGGGGAGGACCCTGGGCTTCCTGGGTCATAGGAGACCTCGGCTCTCACCTGGATAACATCTGTTAACACAACGGAATTCACATCCAAGCCGGAAAGTGGCAGCTCGGGCCGGGCTCTCAAACCAGAGGATTTTAAGAGCATTAGAGAATCTTTCATGACCTAGCAGCCATACTGCCTCAGCTGGGCCTGAGACACACACGCGCACATGCACACACACATGCATATGCACACACACACACATGCACACATGCACGCACACACACATACACACACACACACACACACACATGCACGCACACACCGTGAGCTGACAGGAGTGCATTTTCCCATCTGTCTGGTACCACACTGTTGCTTGATGCATATTAATTTGTGAACTTCTATAACAGATCCTTGGGGTGGGTTCTGCTGTCCCCTACTGGACACTTGTAGAGAGCAAGCCCTCACCCGGGAAAAGCCAGAGCCACCTACCTCCTTCCACTCTCTCCCTCACTGGGCTCTGCACACTGGCCTCCTCCATGTTTCCAGAACATGCCAAATAAATCCTTGCCTCCGACCTCTGCCCCTGACATCCTGCTTGCCAGGAGCACCTTCACCTATAAGCTGCTCGGTCTCTTCCTGTCTTCTGGTTTGGTTTGGATTTGTTGTCTTGTTTTGGGGGTGCTAGGCACGCGCTCTACCACTGAGCTACACCCCTAGACCTTCAGGGGTCCCTCCTCTCCTCCTTCAGTTCTTTACTCACAGTCACCTTTTGGAAAACAATCAAGAACATGAGGAGAGAGTCTACCACTGGGGGAAATCTTTGGCACCTGCACCTCAGATACAGCATTAATCTCCCGGATATATAAAGAACTCAAAAAACTTAAAACCAATCAGTAAATGGGCAAAGGAAGTGAACAGACATTTCACAGAAGAAGAATCACAATCGATCAACAAGTATATTTTTAAAATGTTCAACATCTCTAGTAATCAGAGAATTGCAAATTAAAACTGTAATGAGATATCATCTCATTCCAATTAGAATGGCAATTATTAAGAACACAAGTAACAATAAATGTTGGTGAAGATGTGGGGAAAAAGGTACACTCATACACTGCTGGTGGGACTGCAAATTAGTGCAACCACTCTAAAATGCAATGTGGAGATGCCTCAGAAAACCTGGAATGAAATCACCATTTGGCCCAGTTATCTCACTCCTTGACATACACCAGAGAACTTAAAATTAGCACAGCACAGTGAAATGGTTACATCAATGTTTACAGCAGCTCAATTCACAATAGCTAAGCTATGGAACCAACCTAGAGGCCCTTCAACAGATGAACTGGTAAAGAAAAGGTGGTACACATACACAATGAAATATTACTCGGCCATAAAAAAGAATAAAATTATGACATTTGCTGGTAAATGGATGGAATTGGAGACTATCGTGCTAAGTGAAATAAGCCAATCCCAGAAAAACCAAAGGCCAAATGTTTTCTCTGATATGTGAGGCTAGCACACAATAAGGGGAAATAGGAAAGATTAGAAGTACCTTGGATTAGACAAAGGAGAATGAAGGGAAGGGGGCTGGGAACAGGAAAGAGAATAGAATGAATGGGACATCACTTTCCTAGTTCATATGTGAACACACGACTAGTGAAACTCCACATCATGTTCAACTACAAGAACGGGAAGTTGTACTCCATGTGAGTATGATGTGTCAACATACAATCTGTTAGGTGCAGGACAGGCTGAGTAAGCTGTCTGCAGGGCATGCCAAACAAAGTCAGCTGCAGGGTGACCTGGCCTCTCAAACCCTCGGTCTGGTTCTTTATCAACTATTTGCTTCAAGCCCAAACGCCCAAGCCCC